ATTCATCCAAATTAGGCCTTAACATGCTTGAATTGCATGAATTATGTTCTCCAAAGCCATCATTGTTACCTAAAGCTCAATTAACTGAAAGATAAACACAAAAAGGATTAAAAGCACAAGTTTAACTAAAAAACATAACCAAATCATAAGCTAGAAGGGTAAGAAATAATATACAATTATGAACCGATCACTCCCCTCCTGGTAGTATGCACACCAATAACCCCTGGTTCTTTAGATGTTTTTGCTTGAAATTCGTTCCCCCCCATGTGCTGGAGCCTCCCAGCAGCTCTGCATACGTGGACCTCCTAGCTCTCTTCGTGGCTTTTGTTCTCCAGCCAAGTGCTGGGGCTTTTGCAGCTCCTTATTTTAGTTGTATGGGCCTTCTAGGACAACAAGTTAGTTTATCAAGTAAGTGGGCTAACTTCATCAAGTGTTGGGCTATTTGGTTGAGGTGATGGGCTATTTTGGTTGGGGTGATGGGCTATTTTCTCTTTTATGCTCACCCACATGTTTGGACCTAAAAATGGGCTTGAGTTCCGATGCTCCCAAGCAACCAGGAACTTCCATTTCTCGGCCCATCAATGGGCCTTATGACAACTTATTACCATCCATACCACAACCCACTCAAGCAAGCTCCGGGCATTTGCGTGGTTTGGGCCCACTTAAGCTTGTAGCATGGCTAGGTGTAATAATAATGATTTTTGTTTGGCATTGCATGTCGCTTGGCGTGCTTGAATTTTGTCGCCTTTAAAAGGGTTATGATGCTTGACAGGATAATTAGCATGGGCTTGTAGAGCTAGTGCATTTTATAGGCTCTAGTGTGGCGGATTACATATTTATTTGACATGACACGTGGATCGCAACTCGTGTGAGCGTGGATGACGAACTTTCGCGTGCATGAATAGAGTTTCTTCTTAGTAAGGTATCGTACTGGGCCCAGAATACATTTTGACTTAGCCTTGGATTTTTTGGGCCTCAACAACATTAGATTGCTCATGCATTCATTGAGCTTGATTTTGTCATTTTGCACATATTTTTTAAAATGAAATCATCAAGTTTTGGACAAACAATCAATAAAAAGGATTTTTTTTATTATTAAACAATTTGAAATATTAAGGGGATGTTAGTGTAAATAACTCTATTAATATTGAGTTTCACTTTTGCATCACTTTTGCATCTACATCATATATAGAAGCCTAATTTAAAATATTGAAATATTTTCGATGGGTATCAACTTACCTAACTCACAATTGCGTGGGTCCATCCATACTATTTAGCAAAATAAAAACAAAAAGAAGAAAAAGAAGAAACTATAGTGCGAAGACAAAAACATGAGCTAAGAGAGAGAAAGATAGTATTTTTCAATTGAACAGATATGGATTCATACACCACGTGTACCAAAAAGAATCATACACATCACTCTCTACAAATCTAGAAGCCTTGTAGGCGTGGATTACGTTTTTAGTCAACATTTTGCATATATTGTTGTCATGACTAATGTTTTAAATTATGTTGGATTGTTACTTCAATCATTCGTGTTGACAAAAATCAATCTAATTAAGCGTCCAAATTCACCATTGTATTTTATGTTCATATAGAGAATAAAGAGAGATGTAAGAATTTTACGGTGCTAGGCAATCTAAAAGAAGAACAGTCATATCATCACTCCATGATCCATCCAATATTTATCGCATGTTATATTATATGTGTTTCAGAGCATCTTCATTTATGCTCTTTATTTTTTAGCCGAAATTTAACTAAAAACACTAGAAATCTTATGCTCTCTAATATTGCATATTATATATTATATATCTATTTAAGTTCAGTAAAACAAAGCTAATCGTATATAGTTAAATACATGGACATAATTTAGCTAAAAAAGTTAATCACAATTTAGTATGTATAAAAATACTAAACCATTGCTATAGGACTGTTCTTGCTCTGCATAGGACAAAAACGATACTTGAGAGAATACATCAATTTCAAATCCTAAGACTTAGTTTTGTCCAGTCCTAGTCGCCGCAGGAGCAGGTGGAATGCGATAGTCGTGTTATATATATGGTCATAAAAGCAACGGGGCTCAATCGTTTTCTCTGGCGGCCAGATTTTTTGGGTCTGAAAGAAGTATGGCCAGTTTTTTTGGGTCTGAAAGAAGTAGGTGCAAACGTACGATAAAGCATAACAACAGCACTACTACTAGAAGTAGGACAGCAAAAGAAAACGTAGTCTCAGAGACGAAACAAACGTGTCAAGAAGTCCACACAGCAGCTACCATATTAGTCAATCCTTGGGGGCATGGTAAACCATCCTTGTCTAGAATATGCATTAGAAAGGATGGGGTCGGTTCACCAGTTTCTTCATTGGTTTCTAAACCTAATGTGGACGGGTTGAAGTTCAGGGTTGGTTGCTGATAAAAAAGAATAAAGATAAGAAACATTTTTCAAAAGTAATTATTGAAAGTTCAATACGAGAGACAAAAAAATAGAAGATGGAGAATAAGAATATTACGAATTATGGAAGATGGAATCATACACATCAATCAGCTGTCAATCTAGAAGCCTTTCATAATCACTCATGTTCGTGTATAATTATAATATATCATTAAATGTATATTTTTTTTAATTTGATTTAATATGGGTATAATTAGAAAATTATACAAATTTTGTTTTTCATTCCTACTCAAAACAAACACGGGAAAGGAAATAAACTGATATCTCTCAGTTACTTTCCCAACATTACTAAACATGAGAAATTAATCTTCAATTTCCCATTCCTTGGGAAATAACATGGGAAGTGATTTTCCCTCAAATCCGTTCCGTAAACCGAATGGGTAGTAAGTAGTTTACAAAGGGGCTATTTTAGCCAATTTTGCTTAAATTTAGTACAAATTTATGTTTATAAATTTAAATATATGGACATATTTTGTACAAAGAGTTAATCAAGTTTTAGTATGTATGGTACTTGTCAGAGCCACTCTCCCACTTTTCGAAACTTTGTTGAATAATATAAATCTCACATGGAAACTTGACTAAATTAATGAAAGCTTGTTAATTTACTTTTTATCTATATGCTATTTTTTATTAATACACTAATAGGAAGCTTGTTAATTTAAGTATGTGGCCCCCTTTCAAAAAATCAGTACGTGAAAAACTGAAAAGTATTTAACTTTAATAGAAAAGTGTTGAATATTTATGTATTTTTCAAACTGATATTTATATTTTTGCATCTGCAATCTAACAATTCTAGCAACGTGCACACTGACTAAGGCCTGTCTAAGCAGAAGTGTTCCTGCTGCATAGACAAACACGAGACTTGGGAAGACATCAATTTCAAATACAGAGACACTGATTCTAGAAGGGGGGGCTCATAGAATTTCCACGAGCACCAACCGACAAGAATCAATTAGGGCGCATTATGTTTGATTTGTCCCACCGATAAAAAAACGATGCATGTGCTTTATGATTTAGGAAGCTTCCCAATGAGTTTATTCCATTTAGGTCAGTCGACTAATACAGTATGTTTCTTCTTTTACATTTGAGTTTGATTCTATTCTTTCGTAAATTAGAGTAATTTAGAATACTCCTTTATCAAAAAATCAAAAAATTGTTTAGGGTTTAGGACCAACCATGGAATTTATCAAGTTAATTTCTCCATCCAAGACTTGAGACTTCGACACCTGTGAACAACAAATATTATAAATAAATAATAAATAAATTATTATCCCCGAAATATTCACGTCCTTAAGCTAAAGCTACCATTCATATTTCTTGTGTACATTTTTTTTTTCTTAGGATAAAATGCATATAACCACAAACCACTATAGAAAGCTTAAGCCTAAAGCTACTGTTCATATTTCTTGTGTCCTTTTATTTTCTTCATAAAAATTTCTTCGGAGAAAATGCCTATGACCACTATAAAAAGTAGCATGTAAAAGCTTCCTTTTGCAAAGCCATCAGTTTTCTCTCAAAGCAAGTGATAGTAAAAGAAAAATATCGCATAATCCCAGTCTTAGTGAAATGGGCTCCCGATCACCTCCTAAGCTTCCTACCATCAATTTTTCCATTGAAGACTTGAAGCCTGGCTCAAGTTCTTGGCTGTCCACCTCCAAACAAGTCCGGTATGCACTCGAAGAATACGGCTGTTTCGTGGCGTTTTATGATAAAGTTTCTGCACAACTTGTAGACAAAATCTTTGGCCAGACCAAAGATCTGTTTGAGGTTCCAATTGAAAACAAAATAAAGAACACAAGTGAGGAACCATATCGTGGGTATATTGGGCCAAACCCTCTCATGTCTCTCTATGAAGGCTTGGCCATCGACAATGTCACGTCCCCACAAGAAACTCATAAATTCAGACAACTTATGTGGCCCGATGGCAAGAACAACTTTTGGTAATTCCCCTTTTTATACTATTAAATGTTAAAGCGTAATATTCTCTTGTCGTACTTATATTCTATATGTTGCCGGATTCTTACTCGAAATTGGTTTAAATTTACACTGCAACATATACATTTGACTGACAACTTAAATCTCGAAATATCGTTACTCATTTAACAAAATCCTTAAATTTTTTATAACACGCACTTAATTTCTATTTTCTTGTTTTGGACAGTGAGATCATAGATTCATTTGCCGAGTTATTAGTAGGCTTGGAGCACACAGTGGAACAAATGCTGTTTGAAAGCTTTGAGGCAGCAAAGCAGTACGAGTCTGTTGCTAGCTACAACAGTCAACTTCTTAGGTTCCTCAAATATAATACAGTAAAGGAAACTGATGCCACCTTAAGGTTTGCGAGCCATACAGACAAGAACTTTGCCACCATTGTTGTTCAGCACGATGTTGGTGGGTTGGAGGTCCAAACAAAGGAAGGTGATTGGATTAGCATTGAGTCGGCACCTTCACAGTTCTTGTTCATGGCCGGGGACGGATTGCAGGTGGGTCCCATACTTTATTTTTAATTACAAAATACTACGTACCTAAGATAGCTAAGGGGCACGTTTGATAACCATTTCAATTTTAATTTTTAGTTTTCACTTTTTGTGCTAGAGTATAGAGGAAAAAGATGGAGAATGGAAGTGAGAATAATGAGAGTGGAGATGAGATTGAGAGAGAAGAAGAGAGGGAGGAGTAACAAAAGTGAAAACAAAAACTAAAAACTGAAATCTATTTGAAATTGTTTTCACTTTCAAGTTTTTGTTTTTACTTTTGTTACTCCTCCTTCCCATCCTTCCTTTTCATCAACTTTGCAATCTCATCCTCACTCCCATTTCGCTCTAATTTTCCTCTATATTTTAGCACAAAAAATGAAAACTAAAAATTAAAATTGAAATGGTTATCAAACAAGCCCTAAATTGGTTAATTACTTTTTTTAAAAATTAAACCGGATCTTTAGATGTTCTCTCTATATATATATGTCCAAGTTGGGCTTTGCTTCAAATTAAAGAGCATCAAAATAAACTAATAAATAATTTGCTCCATACATATATGTATTCGTGCTTGTTGATATATATACAAGGGCAATTTTCTAAACCTTAAACAAAATTTTGCTCATCATACCACGATATAATATTTTCTTTTTGGACTTGGTTTAATTAGGTATGGAGTAACGACAGAATAAAAGCTTGCCACCATCGAGTGAAGGATTGTGGGGACAAGATAAGATACTCACTTGGGATGTTTACATTCAACAATGGGGTGTTGCAAGTACCGCAAGAACTAGTGGATGACAGCCACCCACTGCTCTATAACCCATTTGATAGTCGAGGGTTTATAAGGTTTTATACAACGGCTGAGGCCAAAAATGCAAAGTCTCCTATCAAGGCCTATTGCGGTGTTGGTCTTGAAATTTAGCAAATTCTACAGTTTAAAGTGGCGGTATGGTGAAATAAGTGTATGTGGAATTTGGTGGCTTCTTCCTTTCCAAGGAGAATACTCCAAAGGCAATGTTGTAATTATATGTTAGTTCAACTTTAATTTTCTTCAACTATGAGAATTATTGCATGATAAACTTAGCGGCGGCTCTGAGATTTTAGGGGTCCTGTACCAAAATAATAAGAGAGCCTCCTAAAATATATAAAGTCTTGAACGAAAAATTATAAAAAAGAGGGGAATGCTAGCAACCTTCTCTCTATCCTTCTCTTTCGGATCTTCACCCTTTACCCCATTACATGTGTCATTTTCTTTACACTTAAAACAATGCCATTACACTACTACATTTTACAGTTTGCGCGACGAAGAATAATTGATCGCGCAAAGCTCGAAGAAGTCGCACAAATAACAGCGCGACAGATATGTCGTCGTGCAAAATCCGTTGCACAATGATGGTGAAGAAAGACTTTGCGCAACAGATTTTTTTTTTGTCGTCGCGCAAAGTCCTTCGTTGCACCAACAGTTCAGGGACGACATATTTTCCGTCGCGCAAACGAACAGGCAGTCGTTGTAAGCATGGTCTTAAATATCGATAATATCCCCGATATTATCCCGATAATATCTGATTTTTGGGGGTCCGATATTTTAACAACTAACCATATAGTTATCGTCAATATATCGATATTATCCCGATATTATCCCGATAATATCGGAAAGATATTTTCAACACTTTTATGAATGATTTGGTCAATATATCGAGATATTATCGATAATATGCCGATATGAAACTCAAAAAATGTAGAGAACTGAAGGAGCTCATTGAACTGATTTGGGTACTCTACGGAAAGCATGTCTCCTAGAGTAATACAAAAGTAGCTCATTGAGCTAATAAACAAAGCATGTCTAGCCGACAAAATGCTCACATGCTTTTACAAAATGGATAAAATATAAAAATTAGCTTTGGATTCCTGGCTTGGTTTACAAAATGGATAAAATATAAAACTCACCAACGTTTTTTCAACTTACATTACTTACCCTACCATTCAACCACTCACCTGCTTTTACTTACCCTACCATGGCAGTAGGCGGGCAGGACCAGGAATTGGTGCCATAGGGAAGAACTATACTCGTAGAAAAAGAGGCGAGGGGACATTGTCAAGTCAAGAAGATGACTCGTTATCTATAATTTCATGTAAAAAGTGATTTTGCGCAAAAATAAGTAATGAATTTTTTTATTTTTTTTTTCTGAAAAATTTTTTTTGGTTTTTTTATTTTTATAATTAAATGAAATTACAATAAAAAAAATGTAATGAAGAGAATTTTTTTTTATTTATAACATAATATAAATGTATAGTACAAGAGAAATGTTTAAAACGTAATTAAGAAAGTAAAAAACTAATCAAACAATGTTTGAAAATCAACTTGGTCATCTGGCAAATGCGGCTTGGAGGTCTGGATATTGTGGACAGGGGCAGAGGTTTGGTGGCCATGCTCGGGTTGGATGGGCTCAGAGGTGGACGGGGGAACAAAAGACGGTACGTGAATGCCGGAATGGGTGAGGGACTGTAGAAACTGATCCATCTGGGACATCCGGGCTTCAAGCTGGGCCACCTTTGCTGTCAAAGCACTATTTGACTGCGACGATGAATGGGGTCTAGGGTCCCGCCGCCGGGCATTCCCCATCCCTCGACAATATGTCCCTAGCCACCTCCCGAGAGTCTGATCCAAGGTTTCCGTCAAGATCTGAAACCCCGCATCCTGTGGAGGAGCCATGGACTCGAGCGTCGTATCGGGAGGAAGCTGGGAGGCGGACTCCTAAAGAACCAACTGGCACTTCTCCATCATGGTCGTCTGTTTAACATAACATAAAATATTAATTAAAACATTCATATAATAACCATGAAACTTGAATGCGTAAGATAATAATTAAAATTAAAGGCTACTTACATGAAGGGACTCCGCCAACTCATTCCCAGGTGGAACATAAACATCGCCAAAGGCGTCAATCTTTGGGAATTTGGACCCCCCCTAAATTGAACAAGAGAACAAATTAATATTAATGACATATTAAAAATTAAATAAAAACGACTTTATTATTACCCGCCACCACGCCTCCATCATATAGGTGAAGGGCCTGGAACCTGAATGGTGGAGAAGAGTTTTCTTCTCCCTATTGCCCTTATTTGCTTTGGCCATCTTCTGTTATACAAAAAATAAAACGTATTAGTTGAAATTCAAATGAAATATAAAAAATTAAATAAACATTAGTAAGAAACGTGTAATAATTTTCAACTTAGTATAAAAAAATACCACATAATCGGGCCCCTGAAAATGACCACAGAGCCACTCCCAACTATCATCCCGCCCCTCAAGCTCCTTCGGGCAACCCTCCTGAAGAGCGACCTGCGGATCATCATATGCCTGAAAATGGTGGTGTAGGTCGCTCTTCGACTGCTTGTACCTCTCAGCAAAGAGTCTGTTGATGTACGCCAACAACTCGTCGTCGAGGTTCTCTAAATTGTAGTTCATCTGCAATAAATTAATTACATACATTAAGTTTTAGAAATATATAAAATTTGAAGGGAAAACAATTAAAAGGTAGGATATATATCGACAGCTGTCCACGCACCTCCATCTACACCTCGTCTATACGAGTGTTGGTCACCCGAGTGACCTTCGCCGTCTTCAACTGGCGACAAGGTCCCCGGGTGTTCTTCTTGGCTGCAAAGAAATATAAAATTAACGTTAAATAACAAATCGTACTAAAATCTTGGTACGAAACATCTGTAGTTGAAGGAAATCTTTACCTGCTTGAGACTCCGACGCACCAACAGCGGAGGTCGAAGTGGTGTCGGTCGTGTTGGGAGGGCGATGACGCCTCCTGGCGCTAACAGGTTGCGCCACTGATGACTCTGATGACGCCGGTGCATGGGAGATGCTGGAAAAAACTAGCATGTCGTGCAACTGTGTTGGAGCAGTGGCAGCTGACGTCGTAGTCGGTGGAGGCATATGTGAAGTCGTCACCGTCTTATGACTTCTGATAAGGTCTGACATCTGCACAATTGATAAGCTCTTAAAATTAAAACATCCTTGGCCAAAAAAAATTTAAAAAAAAAAAAAAAAACCTCAACAACTAATCAAGAACAAATTCAAAATTAAACATATTCATTCACCAATACCAACAATTGAAATGCAAAAACTCAAGATTAAAATGTTCCAATATCATGTAGCAATAAATAAAAAAAGCAATCAAGAAAACTTTTTTCGAATTGAGTTTTACTTGAAGGCATGAAAGTATAAACGAGACACCGAAATTAGATTTATTAAGTATGGTTTGGAGAGGGTAATAAGGGAAAAGGGGCAATGACATTGGCCCAAATGCATTTACTAGCAGTCTTTTATGGTTTTCAAGTTTTGGGAGCACAAAAGAAAGTGATTTTGATGCATATCAATAATCTTGATTCATTAGCTTCAATATATGTCAACTTGTATAAAACTAAAAGCACATTTTTGAAAGCAAACAAAACAGAAACATATATTCTTATATAAAAAAAACAAAAACATGTATTCTTTATAAAAAAAATAAAAAAAATAGAAGCACATAATATAGAAAAATCAAATTGCTGCCCAAATTTTCAAGAGTCGGTATGTGATTAAAAAAAAAAAGTTGAATAGATAAACCTCCTAATGAAAATCATAAAAAACAAGTAAACTATAGCATGTTTATTAAACAAGCTACCAAAGTTGTTGGCATATACACAGTGTAGAGATACGAGCACGATACACGGACCACAAAAATCATATATTCATCTCAACAAAGCAAAAAAAAAAAAAATTGTTTAGTAGCACATATTTTAAAGCCCTCGAAAAGTAATCGAAATACAAAAAACAGAATATTGTGCTCCAATCAAATCTGAAATCTAACAGCAATACACTTACAAAATCACAAATCCAACACCACAATGCAATTTCAACACTTCCAATCAAATTTGAAATCAAAAATAAAAATCCAATACAAAAAGGAAATTGAAACATAGGCTTCCTAACCAACCATCAGACTAAGCAATTTATTAAACACTTACAAAATAAATATAGAAATTGAAACAGCAAAACAAATATACAAAAATCCAAATATACAAATATACAATTCCAAACTTAATCCACAAATTTCAGAAATAAAAATTCACAGTTGAAATTATTAATCGAGGCTAGAGTTGGGAATTTTACTGAGTGGGTTTCGAGGGAGACCGGAGAGCACGCAAGTCCGGTGGTGGCGAGCGAGAGAGAGAGAGAGGGGCCGTCGTCTGACAGGGATGAGAGGAGACGGAGGAGCGAGGGACTGAGAGGGATGAGAGGGGACGGAGGAGAGAGGGACTGAGAGGGATGAGAGGGGATGAAGGAGAGAGAGCGGCTGCGACTTTTAGGGTTCGAAGGATGAGAGAGGTTGAAGACATAACAAAACTGTGCGTTTTAAAAAAAAAATGTTTGTGGACTTGCGCGACGAATACAAAATCTGTCGCGCAAAGTTAAAATATCACACTTTGCGCGACGGAGAAAAATAACGGCGTCGCTCAAAGACTTTTTAATAGGCGGGATATGAACCGCCAAAATTTTGAGGACTTGCGCGACAAAATATATTTCCCACGTCGCCCACACCCTAAACCCTGGAGAATTGTAACATAGCGCGACGGAAAAGTGATAAGTTCGTCGCGCAGGTCTTTTTTAAAGTTATAAAAAGTGAACAGTATAAAAGCATGGAAATATTAGTGAATATATTGTTTTAATGGGCCTACGCATTCTACGATACTAGTTTCACCGATCCAACCGTCAAACTTGTTTGTTTATACTTAGAGATCGTACATGCCAAAAATTGAAAAAAAATATACATTCATAGATGATGTAACGGGACCAAAATTTTCGACGGTTATAAACTAAAAATCACGATTTAACAGTTTTTTTAATTCCGATTTTGATGATTTTTTACGGGTGCACTCCTTTACCATATATGAATACAATGACTGAATTTGATCTTCATTTAAAAATATTTACACTAGTGGATACCACAAAATCTTATGTTATATTTAACAAAAGTATACAAAAACTCTTCATTTTTGTGAATATATAGTTTTGATGACATACGCATTCTACGAAACTAGTTTCAACGATCCAACCGACAAACTTGTTTGTTTATACTTAGAGATGGTACATGCCAAAAATTGGAAAAAATATACATTCATAGATGATGTAACGGGACCAAAATTTTCGACGGTTATAAACGAAAAATCACAATTTAACAGTTATTTTAACTCCAATTTTGATGATTTTTTTACGTCTACACACCTTGACCCGATATGAATACAATGACTGAAATTGATGTTCATTTTAAAATATTTACAGTAATGGATACTCCGTTTAATTTCTTAATTGTTATGCATACAAAATAAAAAACAAAAAAAACATTGGTTTAGGGGACGAAATATTAGTTTCGTCTATGACAAGTTTGCGCGACGATTTCTACTAAAAGTTAATCTAATTCGTCGCGCAAACTCATACAAATACTATAAAACTCATACAAATACTGTAAAAAATTAATTTTTTAAATTAATTTTGTGAAGACTTTGCGCGACAAACATCGTCAAAGAGTTATATTATTGCGTCGCGCAAAGTCATACAGAAATTGAAAAAAACAAATTATTTATATTATTTACTTTTAAAGACTTTGCACGACGAGATTGTTTTATTCGTCGCTCAAACAGTGTATGAGCGACGAAACTCTCTTACTTCGTTGGGCAAGGGTTATTTCTATTACATCAGAGTTTTTTTTGCAAATAATCCACAAGTGTTTGTCAAATAGTGGAAATAATTGTAACCAATTGCATTTTCAAATGCAAATGTATGAAAATCTACATTCTTGCAAGCGAACGTGATGTGTTTCAAAGCTTCAAGTTGTGTTTTAAAGTTGAAGGAACAAATCTTTAGTTTCAGAATATATTTCTTGCATTTGTCTTCCCAGTTCTCTCCAGCTAGATAAACATGCGTTTCTGTTCAGTTTCTATGTGATTTGGTGGTGACCAATGTACTCGGATTGAAAGTGTAATATTTTGACCTGAAAATGCAATTGGTTACAATTTTTTCTATTATTTCACAATAATTGCAGATTTTTTGGGAAAAAATTCCTGCGAGACGAATAACGTCGTCGCGCAAACAGTCTATGTGCGACGAATATATCTTTACTCGTCGCACAAGGGTTATTTCTATTTTGAATATTTTTTTTGCATATTTTTTGGGATACCCCTTGCGCGACGACAGATCTCGTCGCGCATAAAAGTGCTTGAGCGACGCCAATATATTATTCGTCGTGCAATGGTTTTTTTCTATTATTTGAAAATGTTTATGCTTTTTTTTGTTATATATATTTTTATTTTACTATATTTCTAAAATTCACGAGATTCATTTGTACTTTTTTCATAATTTGCATTTACGCCATAATTAAATGTAAAAGAATTTAATTAAAAAAGTATGAATGACTTGATTTTATTGCTCTTTACATTAAACTTCTCAGTAAGTATAGCCAAATGTATTTAACTCCGTTTTATTTCTCCACATATATATAAATGGAAATTAGATATAACAAGTACATATATTCAAAAAAAGCATAGTTGCCAATATATTTACACTAACATAATTACATTTACTAAAACATAGTAAGTCACAAATAAATTGCATTATTCATCATCTGAATTATAATAACCTTCGTTATCGTCGCTATCATCACTTTCAATCTCCCAATCCTCCTCCTCCTCCTCCTCCATAACTACATCACTGTCGTTGTTCGGGCCCACTGCAACATTGTATCGCGGAGGATCAACGAGGTCAATTGTAATTGATTGAATCAGTATTTCAATTGAGGAAACTCCTTGTATCTGAAACGGTTCTTGTATAACATTTGTATCTCGAAGTGTTTCCGCATCATTTTCCATTGAACATTCTAAACGTTGGTCAGTGACGTTGTCGACGTCGTTGTCAGTTGGGTCTAGTTCTGGTATAGCATACACGTTCCTCTGATCCATCTTCTGAACAACTTTCCAACCGCTTCCGGGTTTAGGGTCATCCAGATACACAATCTGTGTTGCCATGTTTGCCAAAATGTAAGGGTCGTCATCATACCGAGTTCTATTGATGTTCACCAAGAGTAAGCCATGGTCGATTTTAACACTTCCCTGCCTATTTGGATTCGTATCAAACCATCGACACTTAAACATGATCACTTGGTAGCGGTCTTTGTAAAGCAATTGCACGACAATTGTGAGTTTTCCATAGAAATCTAGATCTGTACTTTCGCCTCCACCGACATGGACACCGCTGTTTTGCATGCACAACTTGTCATCTCGTGCAATCCTCAAAAACTTGACGCCGTTAACATGACAAACCGAGAACAATTCAGCGCTAATTGGGCCGAATGCCAAGTTATATAACTCTTCACTGTAAGTGGGAGAATTCGATGATTTCAACTTATTCACCTAATTTTATACAAAAACATTCACATGTTAGTTTTAGCAAATTAAATACTACTGTTTGTACCATATCTGACCCTACACTCATACTGTGACACGTGGAATGGTAAGCTCTCCCAATCGCCTCGATGAGTGAACATTCAGCATCGGCTACCGATCAACATGCAAAGCCTACAATCGGCATGCATCGGCGATTCTGTAGAGCGAACCTCGAAGGCCCCGCCTAGATATCCACAGACTCGTGTCGACCTCAGAAGACCCTCCCACGAGTCCCACATCGAAACTAAGTGCTAAGAGCATCCCAAATGCCCTCTATAAATAAGCCCATTCACTATAGACAAGGGGTAAGACTTTCAGCTTGACTTTTATGCTAAATACATCGTCAGTATAAAAGCTCTTAGAAAGAAACTTACTTCGGCATCCGAGGGTCTTAGGCTGGTACCACACCGGTGCCATAGACCTCACGAGCCTCGGCTCTTCTTGATTCAGGATCGCCATCCCAGGAAGGAAGGAACCTGCGTCAACCACTTAATCGATCCCAGGATTGTCCACATCACTTGTAAGTTGCACATATCTCCATCTGTTCAGTTTTGGTGCTAACAACTACAATATATATGTCAAATACAAAAGACTTATAACTTACATATTCCAAAAACCAATGTGGAAACAATTCACGGTGTTTCTTGGCATACAAATGTGATGAATGTTTTCGCTTCATCATCTCTTCATGCTCAGCTAAGTATGCCATTATCTCATCACAATTGTTCAGTACAAACCAATGCGCTACCTCCATGTCATTTCTCGAAAACGACTCTCCTCGTACAGGATCTCCAAAGGGTTGTGCACTTTGGGCAAAAACAGAAAGTTTCTCATTTCTCATACCTCCTTCATTATTGCGCTGAGGACGATGGAAAGCCGTGTCCACATCTTTTAAATACATTCCACAGAAAGTAAGCGACTCATACTAAACCCAAGCCTCTATAATTGATCATTCGGGCTTCGCCCTGTTGCGGACACTTTTTTTCAGCTTTCCGAGAAGCCTGCCAAAATAAAACAATACAAATTAGCATGCGTGGGATAATGATGCATAAACAAATTATGAGCATGATATACCTTTCTATTGGATACATCCAGCTATAGTTGACAGGACCAGCAAGCAACGCCTCTTCTGGCAAGTGAACCATCACATGGATCATACTTGTGAAGAAACATGGAGGGAATATCATCTCAAACTTGCATAGGACTTGGACAATGTCATCGCACAACTGATGAATGTCTGTCTTTCACAACGTCTTTGCCGTCAGTTGGGAAAAAAATCTAGACAACAACATGATTGGCTTCACAACATCTTCCGACAACAAGTGTCGAATACCCACAGGAAGTAGGCGTTGCATAAACACATGGCAGTCATGGCTCTTTAGTCTAGTAAATTTAACCCCGTCAACATTCACGCAACGTGCGATATTAGAAGCATACCCGTCAGGAAACTTTACTGACAATACAAACTTGATAAACTCTTTTTTGTCATTCGGTTTCATGGAGAAAAATGCAAGATCCCTTCTAGCTTTATCACTGTCTCTATTCATCCATAAACCCCTTCGTATGCCCATTCTTTCCAAATCAAGACGAGCTTTGATCGTGTCCTTTGTCTTGCCCTCGATATCTAGAATCGTGCCTATCAATGTGTCGAAGACATTTTTCTCAACATGCATAACGTCCAGATTGTGCCTCAATTTTAGTTTCGACCAATATGAGAGCTCATAGAACATAGACTTATGCGTCCAGTTCAAATGTGTAGAAGGTCTGATCCGACTTACTGTTTTCCCGAACGAAGCAAAATTCAAACGGTTAAGTTGTTCCAAGATCTAATCACCGGACGATTCTCTAGGTCTTGCGCGACGCTCTTTGTTCCAGTCAAACTCTTTATCCTTTTCCCGCCACTCGTGGTCCCATGGCAACCATCTTCGATGCCCAAGGTAACAAACTTTTCCAGCGTGCCAACCAGAAGTTACATCTTCCTTGCATACAGGGCATGCCATATAACCCTTTGTGCTCCACCCGGAAACCATTGCATATGCGGGAAAATCATTCACAGTCCACATAACTGCTGCTAGCAAAGTGAACATCTTCCCAGTGAATTTATCGTACGTGCGCACACTATTTGTCCATAAATCTTTGAGCTCATCAACAAACGGTCTTAAGTACACATCGATTTACCTGCCAGGATCCTCAGTTATCAAAACAGTCATCATCATGTACTCTTTTTTCATGCATTTCCTAGGCGGCAAATTATATGGCAATATGAAAATCGGCCAAGTGCTATGGTGTTGATTTAGAACCCGGTACGGATTGAATCCGTCAGTGGCAAGTCCTAACCTAACATTTTGGGGATCAACAGCAAACTCGGGGAACGTTCGATCGAACTCTTTCCATGCCTCCCCATCTACAGGATGCCGCATCACATCGTCGTCTACTCGTTTTTTCTCATGCCATCTCATGTCTGTGGCAGTATACAATCCCTGAAACCTTGGTTTTAGGGGCAGATAACGCATGACTTTTTGTGGAATCTTAGTTATTCTATTCTGAGAGGTCTGTTTGAATCTCGACTCATTGCATATAGGGCATGTATCCAATGTTTCATACTCTTTGTAGAATAACATGCAATTATTTTTGCAATCGTGGATTTTTTCATAACCCAATCCAAGACAACTCAACATCTTCTGCGCCTGTCTGTGATCTTTCGGCAAATAATTGTTCATCGGAAGCATTCTCTTGAGAACCCCAAAAAAGTAATCGAAACACAAGTTCGACATACAATACTTTATTTTTCCGTACATTAGCTTCACAATCGCCGTTAGAACGGAAAAGCTCTCGCACCCTGGGTATAACTCTTGGTTGGCATTTCTTAACAGTTTTTCATACTGTTTGAACTCTGCACTGTCCATTGGTGTAGGCACGTCATTTTCCCCTTCCTGATTGCTGCTGGTCGATGCAAATGGAAAAACATCATTTATAATATCCATGACTTGTAAATTAGGATCTACAATAGGCTCAACATTGTCCACTCTTGTGGCCCTTGAAGACGAAGCAATGTCTAATTGTTCCCCGTAATGGTTCCAAGTGATGTATGTCTCAATCATTCCATTCCTTACTAAATGAAATCGAACATTTTCAATTTTCTCCCACAACATGTTGTTACACCTCCTACAAGGACACCGGATTCTAGTTGCACCTGGGTTGTGTGTCCGTGCAAAGTCAATAAAATCCTCGATTCCATCCAAGTATTCGTCTGCGCACCTATTCGGATTCTGTATCCACCTCCTGCTCATTATTCCCGGAACCACAATCACAATACAACAATCATGTTGTATTCGTACAAATTCATAATGTCACCTTATGCCTCCAGTAAGGGCCTTATCTCATTCAGGAATGTATAGTCATGTCACGTAATTTACGGCTACATGAGATTAGATTTTGACATGGATGAATTTTGGCAGCATCTCGATACAGTTCTTGAGGTGTACCGTAGGTATAAAATACTTATGTACCACCCGAAGAATGTAAAGAGATGACACCGAAATCTCCACAATCGATACCTAATCCTGTAGCCGTAAATTACGTTACATGACTATTGTTTAGGCGTGGTAGAAATCCACCTAACTTGGGCAATTTCTGAAAGCACAAAAATTGGCCGGGCAGACAAGGATATGCGGCCGGGCTTCTCAATTGCAGAATTGGGCAGCCGTTGAAATTTAGTGGCCGTAGCAATTCGGGCTGCACAAATTTGCAGCCGGATGGAGCTAGGAAAGATTGGCACGAGAAGAATAGCGGTTGGGCTAGGAACAGAGAGGGCACGGCCGGATGAAGTAAGGGCTCTGAGTCGCGGGGCACGGCCAGGCTAGAGTTGGAGATTCGGTTGGGCTTCTTAGTTACGGAAGTGAGCGGCCGGGCATCAATGGAGAACGAAGCCGGGCTGGGAGATCAAAATTGCGGCCGGATTGTTGTTGCCCAAAGAGAAGCGGCCGGGGTTGCCCAAGGAGATGCGCCCGGGTTTTATCGAATGGTTGAATGCGCCTGGAGCTTTGTTTGGTCTCCAAAACTAGGCTAAAAGGGGTTTTGAGTTGGAGGATTGACTGACTTATATATATATATATTATATACATACGAACTATAAAACCCAAGCTGTTGGCCCAGACCAAGGTATATATTCATGCATGCGGCCAACCAACTTCAATAATAGGGGGCCCATATGTGTAAATATATATATAAATGAATATAAAGTTTGAATTAGGCAGACCAATGTTAGAGCTTCACGAATTCGGAAATTATGAAGGGCATCATCATGCCATTCCAAAGATTGAAGTTCTAAGCCACCAATTTCAAGCCCAAGATTCTCGGAAGATTATATGCATGTGACAAAGGCCTCACAAGGAAGGAATTTGATAATAACTCCGAATGTTCCAAAACAAGGAAGAATCAAGCATTTCAATCAATGCAATCCTACGGATTTAGGGGGCCTTTGGAAGGAAAGAAATTTTAAAGGAGTTGACCTTTGGCCATTCAATGGCCAGCCCATGGGCTGACAAATGCCATATATAAACCTCATCAAACGAAGACAAAGAGAGACAACATCAGACAAACAAACTTATCTTTCATCTCGCACTTTTCTTTTCCTAGACGTAGGATTTTACTTTTCATGCACCTAGTATAGCGAGTTCTTCATTTTCTTAGTGTAAGTTTAAATTCTCGTTCAATTTATATTGTCTTGTCATTTAAATTCAAGTTTATTTCAATTGCTTTACCTTTCATTGTTATCGCACTTCAATTAAGTTTAATTTCAAGTTCATTTTACTTTATCGTTCTTATCGCTTTCATTTCGTTCTTGTTTTATTTATTGCTTTGATTCATTTTATCGCACTTTAATTCTCGTCTTTATGTTATTTATCTTTCGCACTTTACTTTACGCATTTGTCTTTAAATTATATTTAAGTTTAAGCACCTTTACTTTACGCACTTATTCTCCGTTTCATTACATTTCACCTTCAATCTTCATCTCCACCCACTCCACATCATTTGGTTGCTCACATAAAGCCTTAACCCTGAGGTAGTGAAAGAACCTAGGTCGTGAGGAGGTTCCTTGCTCGGCCGAACAATCATTTGATTAAAGTCAAATTTCGGACACAATGCATCCATCTACTCACATTCCATTCAAACCCAAATTCGGGGCTTGGTGGTGGCACGCCCTGCACTCAAAAAAGAAGAAGGACCAAAAGTTCCTTTCGTCGGGCGCCCCGGCCGAAAAGAGGAAAACAACTATGCATTCCCAAACTGTCAAAATAATGGGATAATTCAAGAATTAATTGGACCGCAGTCACGCTTTACGCATCCATGCGCGAAATCCAACTAACCTCGAACGGGAAACTAAGTTTTACTAAAAACAAAATGTACAAAGTTAATTTCAATTAACTTCGTACATCAACGTGCATAACTGAACAACATAATATAAATATAATTTCACAATACAATATAAACATAATGTAATTAATTTTATATTTTTATATTATGAAAAGACGAAAATACCTTCTCAATCATTCTTCACCAATCGCTAATTACATATAATATCCCTATATACAACAAAATTAATGGCGTTAGTACGAATTTACAGTAATACTTTTACACTAACGACAAAAAATCCATATCCAATGAACGAAGCTTTTGCGCGACAGATAACTTTATTCGTCGCGTGAAGTCATGATGTCCTTGCATGATGAAAACTATAAATGCGTCGCACCTTTTTTGTTGCGCAAACGTCTTTGTCGTCCCGCAAAATTTTTTTATCCGGCGCGCATGGATGTGCCGACATCCATTTTTGCGCGACGTCGTAAAATGATTTCGTCGCGCATAGTTCCGTCCCGCAAGTATTTGGAGCGTTTTTCTCACGCGACACCATTTTTATTCGTCGCATTTCACTATGCGCGACCAATTTTATCATCGCGCAATTATTTGGTGCCAAATACGATAACCCTGTGTTTTTTTTCCCGCGTGTTCTTTGCACGACGATCCCGTGTTGTTGTTGTGCAATATAACTTAGCGCGACTATAAATATTGTCGTGCAAAGTTTACCGCCAAATACACGGTTACGCGCCTTTTTTTCGTAGCTATATGCGACGATATTTTTTTTGTCGGGCTAAGTTAGTTTGCGCGGCGCAACGAATTTTTTTGTCGCACTTTTTTGCGCTAAGCTTTTTTTTCTTCCTCGTGCATGGTTCTTTTTTGTGACGAAGAATCCTTCGCCGCGCAAAATACCGTCGCGCAAATAATAAAATGTAGTAGTGTTAATACATCAAACAACCTAACTTTTGTTTTCTATATGTACCCTTATTTGATGTATTGACTTTAATGTTTACTTCCATTTATTAAATTTTTTACAGCCTTCTTAATACTTTGTAAAAAATTATTGTATTATTTATTAAATATTAAAAAAATCAAAGTAAAAAACCTATCTCAAGTCATCCCCACCTTCTTCCCTATTATACTTTAAGCCATAACAAAAACTAAAACGATGAACAAAGAACAAGAATCACAAACAATTTAAGGGTTCCTCCAGTATAGGAGTACCTCCCTGAGCAATGAAACCTTGTATTAAACCCAATGAAAGAGAACTAATAAACTCTCAATAGCAAATTAAAGGATGCAAGATGCAATTGAAGATGAGCAACGCGCCGAAGAATTAATGAACATGAGAGCATTAAGACCAGATTTGATGGCAAACAGTGAAGAGGTTGAGAGTGAATCTGAAAATGAGACAATTCAAAGCTGAAGTATTTTTTATTTGGAAGACTTTAATTCTAATTTGTATCAGACTTTGTTTTTGCATAAATTTGGATTGGACTTGAATAGACTATTTTCTTGGAATGGACTTGAATAGACTATTCCTTTGGACGGGACTTGAATAGACTATTTGTACGAGACTTTTGTATCATACTATACTTTTAATTGTAATTTCATACTTTAAATGAAAATCATCTATTTTTGTTAAGTTTTTATTTTTTTTGTACTTTCAAAAATAGCCCATTTTGGCCCGGCTCGATGTGATCCATGAAGCCCAGCCCATGGGGCAGGCTCGGGCTTTAATTTTAAGATAAAAGCCTAGCCCAACTCAGTCCTATATTTCCTTCCGCTTTTTAAAGCCCGGCCCAGCCCTACCCAAGCCCAGTACCTTTTGGGTTGGGTTGGCCCAACCCGGCCCATTGACGAGGCCTAGGGGTGACAGTTTAGTATCAGAGCATTTGGTTTTCGTTAAGAGAACTCTAGGTTTCAGAGTAATGAATCCTCTGAACCATACTCTTGAGTGGTTAAGTGTGAACAATGAATTTAGAGAGGAATTGATCCTTTGAATGTAGTTGATTTGTTTCAGTTGGGGATGGTCTTCAAATTTGAGCTTAGTTCTAAAGACAGAAAAGGTACATTACATTGCTACCTTCTTGTTGTTGTTTTTTCCTTTGTTGATAATGTTTTCTTGTGGGTACAACATTTTTATCCATGAAACAAAGCATGTAAATAGCTGCCCTCATTATATTGATTACTAGCTTTCTTGTTTATGTAGTTTGACATAAAAAAAACGGGAGTCTAGGGGCTTTCTTGTTTAGGTTTCATGAATTTGTGGTTTTTTTTCCCTGGCGATTCCCATTTTTGTTTTTGTTTTTTGGATAAATCTGACTGGAACTGGCTACGGGATCCCATTTCATTTCGTCTATTGTCTTAACATATTTTTTTATTGTTTTTTAATGAACAATATATTGCATTGAATCAACAATAGCGTACGCTTGCGAGAACGACGGCAGTAATGATGAGTTAAAAAGAAGGAAAATGCTAGGGAGACCAACTTGGGAGACCAACTTGGGATACCAACTCTCTAATAGAGCGTGGGACCCATTGTATTGGTGGGCTCCACCTCTATTAGAGAGTTGGTACCCAAGTTGGTCTCCCAAGTTGGTCTCCCTAGCATGACCCTAAAAAGAATACATAGAGAAGCCACATAAAACGAAATCAGTGAACCAGAAACCAACAACGGAAAATTACACACGAGTTTGAAATGTCGCCGCCTGTGACCAATAAAACATATAATAAAATTAATATGTCTCCTTGCAAATAACGTCCAGTTTGAAATCTACACATGACCAACAAAACGCACAATAGATTTAATATTATTTCGCTTCGATATGCACGTTCTTAACCATTATATATTTACAGAAAAAGATGTAATGAAATTATTAGAGTATTGGCAAATTAAACTTTTTAAATTAAATGTTATTAATTTATTTGGCAA